GGTTCAAAACAGGCCAATCATACATTACGGTTGAACGGAAACCTGTCCGTGAGTCGCGCGTCGATAGTGTTAGTGCACTAAACTATCGACGCGCGACTCACGGACAGGTTTCCGTTCAACCGTAATGTATGATTGGCCTGTTTTGAACCTTAAATTTTTATCTAAAAAACCACTGCTCGGAACGAAAAATGGCAAATAACTTTTTAATTTATTTTTTCGACGACATTCTTGCTATGGTATTTTGATTCGCGAATTTCAGGACACCCTGTATATCAAATCAGTCATTTAATATCAAGAATATTTTATAAATTTTAGTAATAATATTGCACGCAATTACAAATGTAGTTAATTATAAAGTTTCAATTTCTATTTCCCGCCAAGAGGAATTTTGTTTAAAGCTGTTAAATGCAGCAAACAGCTATACTTTCATTTTTATTGAGGTCATCGTTCGCTTCCGCTCCATACTCCCACCAGCTCTGTCACAAGAAATAAGAAAGTACAAGCCGTTACTTTAGCCAGTCTGGTCGGTCGTTTCATCGTCGGGCCACAATTTTATACGACCGTATGGATTACAGCGCACGTTAATAATTTTCGGGTTCACCCGCGTCGAAATTAATACAGATCGCAAGAAAAGAACGTTGAACGTTCTTTGATGTTTGCCGAGAGTAATGCGGTGGCTTGTGTTACTCTGTTGCAGTGAGTGAAAACGCGTTTTTGGTTCCGTGCGTTACGCCAAAGAAATTTTACTGTTTTTCGTAGAGAATATTCTTTCAGAGATAGCAGGAAGAAGCGGGAATATTCTAACAAATTCGAATTAACTTCGTAATTAATTTTTCTATTCTACTTCTTATAAGTAGCGGCCAGTTTCGAACTAACAAATTCGTGGATCCGGATAGATTTAATTCTTTGAATATTGAGAATCGGATCTCCTGAATAATTCAAATATACGAATTTAAGAAATCGATTAATTTAACGAATCAGTTATCCAGACAATGACAAATATATAGATTTGAATCCTAGTATAGTTGCAGTCCTAGAAATGCAATTTAAAAATCAAACGCTATGAATAAAAGAACTCCTTGTTAACCTTTCAATATTCGAAATAATAATAAAGAACTTATTACATCGTGATTTTTTTTGAAAAGAAACTGAAACAAACGTAAAAGGACTCTTTATTATTTAAAGAATTAACTTTTTATTATTTTAAAAGACACATTTTTTAAAAGTTTACAAGTTATACTAATTTCTCAATACACTTTGATTTTTTTTATTATAGCGCTATTACAAAATAATTAAAATTCTGAAAGGCAATTTTCTCAGATCTTATTTATTAAAAAAATTCTAAACGTTTGGAGAAAACAAGTCCTTTTCGTAAAACGTTGACCGATAAAAAACACATTGAATTAAAAAGGACGTTTTATTTAATAGCAACCATTGCGAGTTCGCTTAGACTCGCTGCATACATATCTTCTGGCGGTCTTCACGGAGAAATTCGATTCGAGAGAACCACAGAATCTTCGGTGCGAATACGATATTCTCTAAAGGCAACTTTGCAATATCCGGATCAGCAATGGCTATGGTCAGTCACTCAATTTCCAGTGGACTACACAATTATCGATGGCCGGTGCGACGAACAGCATGTCGGGCAAAGGTTTTATACGCATATATGTATATACAAACATAGTTTATGATAAACATCCCCACACAGCAAAATATATCTGAGACTTGAATCAGATGTCATTTCACCGGTCATATTTGAGATATCTCGTAGATAATACATGTATATCCTGAATATTTTAAGGATGTCACATTTCTGATATCTCTTTTAGAAAATTATTGTCTACATTTTTCTTAGTTGTTTTGCTTTTAAATCATTGTTTATTGTTGAACTTTTTCTAAAAATAAGATTTTAAACTTATCTAGTAAAAAAGAAACAGTATGGTAAAAAATAAAAAAAAGATAAATGTGAGTTTACAACAATATAGTATAAAAAAGTAAAGGCGGATTTATGGAGACTGTGTTCCTTAATAATTTATGCCGGAACTGATAAGGAAAAAATATATTTTATTTATCACATTACCTATTCTGTAACACGTAAAATCCGATTTTACTAAAATAAAGATGTCTAATATTTGATATAAAATCAGATATCATATCTCAGATGAAATTTAATGACATTTTAGAATCCAAGCGATATCTGAATAGTTTTTCGTATCAGATATTGTAATATTTAGATATCTCCCAGATATCTCTGTGACATTTTTTGCTGTGTGGGTCATAATTAAGTTTGAACATGTTTACCTAAAATTGAAATTACTATTATATAATATAATAATTTGTTATAAAATAATATAATAATTATTTTGTTGTTACATTTTACATACAGTATTATCAATTTGACGGAAAAAGTCGGACCCCTCGAATTGCCAACAAATGAAACAGGTTCGATAGAAGTCGCAGATTTATTTTTAACTGGAGAAACGGGTTTGTGGGGAAAGAGTTTAGTACTGAAAGACAATTATTCGCCAAGAACGATATGCGCTTCTATTACGGTAATTTATCAATACGTACATATAATAAACAAATCAAGAGTGGAAAACACGACATGTAAAAATAATTAACTAAAATCATTATACAACTACATTGTTCTAATAATAAGTTCGATTAACTGGAAATTAAATTGTTCGCTATTTCGAATTTCAATAGTCAGTAACAGGTTAATTACATATTATTAATAGCATTTTTTATTTCGTTCAGGTTCTTGAAAGAAATATTGAGAAATTTGCTCAGGCACGTTTCTACGGTCCTGTTGCTGGAACAGTTTTATTCCGATGGTTGAGCAGCAGCCACGTAGACGATGATACCGATACAATTATCCATACAAATTTACATCACGTTCACAAACAAAAATTACAGTCACTAAACTACACTGAACATTATTGGAAGATATACGTTACCGATATCTTGGAAACTGGCAAAGGTATCCGCAAAATATAAAATATTACATTTAATTTTAATAATCCTTAGGTAAATAATTTTTCGATGACACACATTGTGTGTGTTATTAAAATCGTGCATGATTTGATGATTATATCTTGAAAAATGTTTGCACATAGATAAAGACAACTGTAATATACTCCAAAGCGTATTCGATCCTAATGACTCTGGCGTTGGCAAATCTATTGGAGACGTCGATGTTCGTTTGGGCAAAGTAAAGGTTGCTATTAATATGCAGGACAAGTATAAAACTTTCTACAGGGATTCAAAACTGTCTCTACTGCCAGCAGATCTACTTGGTCCACATCGTCATTTATACTTAGTCATCTATCATTCCGTGCACGAGGACTCGTTTTTAGCTTGTGCAAAAATCACTCATCGTAAACCGGTATATACCAAGTAAGAGCATAATTAGCTGCGCTAAATTTGATAAGTAAATATTTTCATACTAATGTAAAAAGGTTGCAGACATATTGCAAAATGGTTTGATTGAAAGATTGCAATATTGTTTTGTTATAAAATATTGCTGCACCGTTGCTGCAAAATTGCGGTAACGTTAAAATATTATCCAATCAAATTACGTACTGCAAGAAAATTATAATATTCATTTAATTGTGAAAAATCTATATAAATTAATAAAAATAATATATGTAAATTTATATATTTACATGTGCTCTTTACAAGAGAACAAGGTTTCTTAAAACAATAATTTTTAATAAATGCTCAGGGCCATATTTAATTCACGTGGCATCCGAGGTCAAGTTTCGGCGATTCAAGAAACGCCGTTCAATCCAACGTGGATCAATATCTCATTAACGACAATAAATGATTTGGAAACCAGATTACGGTACGCTACTAAAGTGGCATCTTACAGAATCCACGAATTACCACCAGAACCAACGAAAAATGTCGGAAATATTATTGATCCATGCTTAACTACCAAAAAGTTATTCAATCCTTTGAACATCGTTGAAAAGACTACTCCCCCGGCAGGTAATTTTAGGCCATAAGAAAGGAAAAGTTATTAAATAATTTAAATATTACTCACTTAACTAATTAATTAAAAAGTTAACAACAAAATTTAAATTAATGGAGCATATAAATAATAATCTGATTACACCATAATTAAATCGTATATAGGTTTTGGTACTCAGGATCAATATGCCATTGGTGATCTGTCTGGAAAGCTTCAAGACCGAAAAGAGGGCTCGTACCACAACGATATTCTACCTGGGAGTGCGAAACTCAGTGGAATTTATTGGGATACATATTTACCGCTTTCCGGAATCCACAGTATTGTTCACAGATCTTTAGTCCTTTACAAGTAATGTATTATAATACGATCGTTTTAATTTATAATTTCAAATATTTTAGTTGTTTTTTTTAAACACATTTTATAGAAAAAGTTCGCAGAATTTAAAAGGGATTTATGTTGCGTACAATAGATTATGAGTTTTCACAATTCTCAAAAAAATGCACAAAATATACAAATATACACAAAATATGCAAATGTATGTACAATGCAAAATTAGATGCTTGGCATACTTGGAATACTTTTTCAATAAAATAAATTTTGTGATATTGTTTTTCTATAGAGGTTTGCTCTTCTAAAAAGAACATAGACTTGCATACAAAAATTTGCAGTATAATTTTGTGTGCGTGCGTGCGTGCGTGAGAGAGAGAGAGAGAGAGAGAGAGA